GGTGCGACTGTGGGATGCGCAAACCGGTGCACCTGGTCCATCTTAAGCGGCCATACCGACGGAGTTGAGCGTGGTGTATTCGCCTAGCGGCAACAGATCGCCTCAGGAAGTCGGGACAATACGGTGCGGCTATGGGATGCGCAAACCGGTGCACCTGGTCACATCTTAAGCGACCATACCTCCATGGTTAAGAGCGTGGTGTATTCGCCCAGCGGCCAGCAGATCGCCTCGGGAAGTGTCGACAAGACTGTGCGACTGTGGGATGCACAAACTGGTTCACCCGGTCACATCTTAAGTGGGCATACCAGCTGTGTCTCGAGCGTGGTGTATTCGCCCAGCGGCCAGCAGATCGCCTCGGGCAGTTACGACTGGACGATGCGACTGTGGGATGTGCAGGCCAGTGCACCTGGTCACATCTTTAGCGGCCATACCGACACAGTTTGTAGCGTGGCGTATTCGCCTAGCGGCCAGCAGATTGCCTCGGGAAGTCTCGACAATACGGTGCGACTATGGGATGCACAAACTGGTGCACCTGGTCACATCTTGAGCGAGCATACCTCCGCTGTTACGAGCGTGGTGTATTCGCCCAGCGGCCAGCAGATTGCCTCGGGCGGTTACGACAAGACGGTGCGGCTGTGGGATGCGCAAACCGGTGTACCCGGTCACATCTTAAGTGGGCATATCGACGGTGTTTTGAACGTGGCGTATTCGCCCAGCGGCCAGCAGATTGCCTCGTGCAGTTACGACGAGACGGTGCGACTGTGGGACGCGCAAACCGGTGTACCCGGTCACATCTTAAGCGGCCATACCAAATGGGTTACGAGCGTGGTGTATTCGCCCAGCGGCCAGCAGATCGTCTCAGGAAGTCGGGACAATACGGTGCGACTGTGGGACGCACAAACCGGTTCACCTGGTCACATCTTAAGCGGTCATACCGACAGAGTTACGAGTGTGGTGTATTCACCCAGCGGCCAGCAGATCGCCTCGGGCAGTGACGACAAGACGGTGCGGCTGTGGGATGCGCAAACCGGTGCACCTGGTCACATCTTAAGCGACCATACCGACGGAGTTGTGAGCGTGGTGTATTCGTCTAGCGGCCAGCAGATCGCTTCGGGCGGTTACGACAAGGCGGTGTGGCTGTGGGATGTGAATTCGGGTCAATGTTTGGCAGTTGTTGAAGATTGTCATGGATCAATCAGAAGCATCGCCTGGAATCCTATTCCAAACGGCACCTACTTCGCAACCGGCTGTGACGATAAGTCTGTTCACATGTGGCAGGTCATAGAAGAGGAGGGTCGCTATCAGGTCCGCCTGCATTGGAGTTCGATGCATGACAGACTTGTCGTGTCAAATGCCTCTATCCAAAACGTCAAAGGCTTAAGCAGGATAAATATGCGGCTATTAGAGCAACGCGGCGCTGTGGGCGAGCCGATCCCACCTCTGGACTTCCGCGAGGCAAGCAGAAAGCTAATGACCATGGCATCCGTGGCGTATAAACTCAAGGTGCCGTCAAACCACAGTATGATGGATACCGCTGCCACGGCCGATTCTCCCGCTGTACAGTCAGCAAAGCCGGTCGATTCGGCGAATATCTTTTCGCTTGCTTGAAGGGTGAAGGTGATGCAAATAGGAGATTAGCAACGGTGCCTTGATTTCCACTCAATGCCACTTTTAGTGCTTTCTGAAGGCAATATACCCTCACAGTCTTTGTCCATGACGAGTTCACAAATTAAAAGTGATGCTCAAGAACGCAAACTGAAGCACTCAATGGGTTATAAAAACCAAAGATCTGGAGAAAGCGATGAACAATGAAGAGATCAAGGTAGGATCTCAGGGTATTGTGTACCCATAAAAGTTGACCATGGCAGCCCGCTGTCTTAAGTAATACGTGCAAGGAAAACATAGCTCTCCTGATTCTAAACAATCCCCTCGCGGAAAGTATCGTCTCAACTTCCTTCACCGGCCCTGGCCAATATCACCAGCAGCACCACTGCGGCCAACACCAGATCTACAGCCAACAACGCACTCGCCATACTGAAGCAGATTCCAGTAAGCGTTGAATTGTCCACCCACTAATAAGCAACGTGAGCTGGGTTTAGATAGCTGTGAGACAGGTTAGGTTAACTCTCTGATGAAATGGTGTTGCATTAGTAATTAAACTTAGTACGTGGAACCGCTCATTCGGATAACTGGTATTTGGGCCTGCCTGAGCAAGCAATGGCCTGAAGCTATCATCCATTGGATTATGGCCGAACGCCTCTAAGTTAGGATCCGCGCTAGAACGCGACGATAACCGCCATTTCCGATTTTTAATTGAGTGCGAGTAGATCCTCGAGTCCTGAATCATGCTACGTGGGGGTGGTCTTTGTAGAGCGGGAAGGCTTTATGAGGCTCCTATGGATGCTTATTACAAACGTTGGAACAGATAAATCCATTGCAGACAACTTTTAAGTAATGGTGTACTGTGCGCTGCCGTTACGTCCATATTAAATCGTGAGCTCAATTGTTGTACGACCGTCCTGGAGGTGTTGGTTGCTCCAGTGTTGTTGAACTTCGTCACGATTTCCGTCAAGGCTTCTCTATATCGATGGTTCCAGTTGTTTTTGAGGTCGACCTTGTGTTGGTGATGACACTATTAGGTCTGGGGGAGTGAGGGTTCATCGTCTTTAAAACCATTCTCGCTCTCGTAGTAACGAATGACCCTCCCTGCCATTAAATTCGATGCGCCAGCAACCTTAGCCAGTCGCTCGTGCGTGCGGGAACCAAGACGACGCGTCAGCTCGGGCGGGAGCAGTTCAAGGAGTCGATGGACCTAGTACCCCACTATTTGCACGCTTTGGCCCAGCTCTCTCCTTAACCTCCAAAAAAAAAAAAAAAAAAAAAAATCACGGACCACATTGCATCCACAACAAATTACTTTGAGACTTCATCAAATTATAATATCAATCAATACCGCAAAGGCGCCAAAGGCCAAATCGATCAAAAAAGAGCCCAAACCACCTAAACCACCCAAGCATAGAATAGTCATTACTATGCCTCGCAGGAAGCCAGAGTTTGGTATGGAAACTTTCGGCACAGAATCAACAGATGCTATTGCACCAGCAGTTGTAGAACAGGGACAGCAGGAGTCAACGGAAAGTGCCACCAATGCTCAACAGGGCGAAAACGGACAGAGCGCAACTCAGTATCCACAGGACGGCTCCACTACAAACATCAATGTATCGACAGCAACTGTTGAAAATGGAGGGAGCGCACAGCCTACGCAGAATGAGCAACGACCAACGCAGCACATGCAGCAGCCTCAGCAGAGTGTACCGAGTCCAGGCGTCCTGTCATTGTATGCGCTACAATATGCGAACAGTAGTTACTTCCGTCGTGATCCGTCATTAATGGGCCTCAGGACTCCCAGTACTCCTGCCACTCCTGGCTCCACAGGTCTAGCGACCTCTCATTCAGCACAGACATCTTACTTCCCTGCCACACCGGCCAGTGGAAATACCATCGCTACAAGATCGATGTTCGGTGGATGTCCAAAACACCATTACAATCCTCACTTCGAAGAAACGGCCATCAATAGCGGGCTCGATAGCAGTGAGCAGTCATCATCACCGATTTTCAAAAATCTCGGGCATTATACCTCTGATGTACCTGAAATGAAACGACAGCGGCATATCAGATCCGAGATACTCCCCACCATTATCACCAATTCCTCATCTCAAGGACCACACCGTCACCCCTCTTCTCAAATATCTTCTGCCCTTCAGACCCCTGCCATCTTTGGACAGTGCAGTGATCACCAAGCTTTCGCAGCTGCAGCCGCAGGATCAGGATCAGGATCATACCCCACGCCGGTCACCAGTGCCGCGACTCCCAGAAGCCCTAACTCTATGAGCGAATGGCGCATGATGCAAATGCAGCTCCAGCAACAGGACGAGGTATATTTCTCTTTGGCATTACCATCTGTGAGCACTATGTCGCTCAACACCCTGAGCTCACACATGTCGAGTTCGTATTCGACATCTGCACTGACGCCCATCGCCGTCGGCGGTGGGACCGTCACAGCCTCGGCATGTTCCTGCTGCGATTGCAATTCCAACAACAGCTCTCCTCCTTCTACACGAATATGCATTGCCCAGAGCCCAGTTTCGGCGACACCAACATTTGGGGCCCAGGTGTCAGGACTGGATAGTGTAACTCAGCACCACAGCATTTTGTTACCTACAAGTTCGTCGAGAAGCTACTTATCTGCTACTGAGAGTTCCAAAGTAAACGGCAGTAAGCGGCAATCATGGATCGGGGGCAGCATCCACCAGTACCGCCAAAACTATTCGTTTCATCAGGCGCAAATGCACAGTCACTGTAGTGCCAGCACCATCAGCGGCGGCTGCTTGTCCAATCAGGACGCGTGCGCACAGGGCACACCGCACGGACACGGACTTGGATTAGTCCAGGCGCCGCTCGCAACCTTTCGATTTGAATACGCACCCAGTTTGGTCGACCCATCCGAGTTTGAGCATTCATCTCAACATAATACTCTTTATCATCGCCATGGCGGCAGCGGCATCGATAACTATGGATCAAGTCCTGCAGGAACAAAGGCGCCATGAGCCAGTTTGAAAGCCATTCATATCTACTCTCAGCTCCAACTTCTGCGATTGGATATCATACGAGGAGCAAGACCAAAGACTGTGGAAACTGTCTCCAATATTGTTGGCATCGATTCATGACAGAAGCTGGAGCATTAACAGCCGGAGCATTAACAGCCGGAGCGCAGGCACCAGCATTGGCCACACTAGCAACTCCAGAGACGGTCACGCTTGGAGGAGTAGAGATAGGAGTTTCTATTTCAAACATG